ACGATTCGTGCTCCCAGATGGAGCTCCCGCGAAGGCCCCAGTGGCGCAGTTCGCACGCATGTCGCCCACCGGGTGCAGCGTGTCGTGGCCCCAGAGGGAGCTCCACCGAAGGCCCCAGTGGCGCAGTTCGCATGCGGTTCCCCCACCGAGTACAGCGTTCCGTGGCCCCAGAGGGAGCTCCACCGAAGGCCCCAGTGGCGTAGTTCGCATGCGTTTCCCCCCACGCAGTGCAGCGTTTCGTGGCCCCAGAGGGAGCTCCACCGAAAGTCCCAGTGGCGCAGTCCCATGCGTTTCCCCCGCCCAATACAGCCGAAGGTCCCAGTGGCGCAGTTCGCATGCGGTTCCCTCGCCCAGTACAGCGCTTCGTAACCCCAGAGGGAGCTCCACCGAAGGCCCCAGTGGAGTAGTTCGCAGGCGTTTCCCCCGCCCAGCACAGCGCTTCGCAACCCCAGAGGGAGCTCCACCGAAGGCCCCAGTGGAGTAGTTCGCAGGCGTTTTCCCCCGCCCAGCACAGCGCTTCGCAACCCCAGAGGGAGCTCCACCGAAGGCCCCAGAGGCGTAGTTCGCATGCGTTCCCCCCACGCAGTGCAGCGTTTCGTGGCCCCAGAGGGAGCTCCACCGAAAGTCCCAGTGGCGCAGTCCCATGCGTTTCCCCCGCCCAATACAGCCGAAGGTCCCAGTGGCGCAATTCGCATGCGTTTCCCCCGCCCCGTACAGCGTTTCGCGGCCCCAGAGGGAGCTCCACCGCAGGTCCCAGTGGCGCAGTTCGCATGCGGTTCCCCCGACCAGTACAGCGTTTCGTGGCCCAAAAGGAACCTCCCCCGCCCAATACAGCGTTTCGTGGCCCCAGAGGGAGCTCCACGGAAGACGATACCAACAACTGCGGTACTCATAACTGCATATGTCTGGGTTCTTCGGTCGGCTATTTTTTTCATGACTCGAGGGGTCTAGGGAGATTGAGATACCCGTAGGTCGGGCACGTCCTCCTACAAGTGGATGGTTGAGGAACATCGTTAAAACAAGAACAAGCAAGCATGAAACATACAATAACATACGGAAAACAAAAATGCAGAAACCGTCACCAGATCAGCTCTCAACTGTTTTTGAACATCCTCCCTGCAGGTGGACATGCCCGACTGAAAGCTGCCCCCCCGCCCGCCCGCCGCCGCTTTGGAGATCCTAAGGTGCTAAACGTGCCCTGGAGCCTGGAGATCCTGGCGTAGCCTTTTTTCACAAAACGGTGCTTATGCTCAATATTCGGGCCCTGGGACCCCTCCAGATCGATCCGGCTCGGCAAATGGCGCAGAAACCGGGGGCCCGGGGCTCCTGGCGTGATCCGATGCGGGCCCAAAACGGTCGCCCGCCCCCTTAACGCTGCCCCTGACCCGCCCGCCCGCCGCAGACGACTCCTCCTCGCCCCGCGCGGGCTGCCCCGGCGGCACGCCTCGCGGGCGCGGGGCGGGGCGGCCGCGCGCGAGGCGCGCGCGAGGCGCGCGCGGCCGCGGCGAGGGGCGCCCTCCGGGCGTGGAGGCGGCCGCGGCGCACTGACGCCGCCGCGGCGGCGCCGGTCGTCGTCGTCGCCGCCGCCAGGGGGCGGCCACGACGAAGGTGCTCGCGGCGCGCGGATCGCGGCTCCTCCTCCTCGCCCTCCTCGCCCTCCTCGCCGTCCCCCAAGAGCGGGGGGGGGGGCGCGAGGGCGCCGGGTGGTTCGCGCCTCGCGCAGCGCCGAGCGCGAACAGAGCTGGAGGGCAGCACCCCCCCACCCCGGCCGGGACCCCCGCTCCCGACTATGGTGATCCAGGGGGTCCTGGCTGGGGTTCGGGGTGGTTTGAGGGGAGTTCTTGGGGACCATCAGTCAACCTCACACCCCCAGCAGGGACCCCCCGGATCACCAGGGCCGGGAGTGGGGAGTCCTGGCTGGGGGTGGGGGGTGGATCGTGCTGTGTCCTCAGGCCATGTTCGCCTGACGAGGCAAGCATGCAAGGATGCCCTTTGGAAGGTTCAGCATGGCCCTCAGGGAAGCAAGCCATGGACCCGGGGGCCTTCCCCCAGGACCAGCTCTGGATCCTGCGTCGTGCCCTGACGGTCCCCGGGCCCGCGGAGGCCCCGAGAGCCACAAGGGGCGAAAGGTTTCCGGACCCGTGTCCCTCAGGACCCGTGTCCCCCATGCGGCAGTGGCTTCCCCTGTGATTGCCACGCGGCGGCGGCGGCGGCTGGTGCAGCTGCGGCCCCGCAGCGCCCGCCACGAGGCGCTGGGCGAAGGGCGCGGCGGCGAGGCGGAAGGCCTGGGAGAGACCCAGACCCCCGACGTCATTTTTGTTCACACCGTCGACCCCCAAAGATCTGGATCCCTTCCCCGGGCTTCCCTGGGACCAGTTTCTCATTCTGAATCGTTTCTTAACGGTCCCGAGGCCCAGTAAAGGTCCCCAGAGGCCGAACATACGGAAAAAAAAACTCCCGTCGTGCTCTGTTCACAGCGCGAGCGGAGGCCTCCTAGAGAAGGGGGCCCGGCAGATGGTGTCGGAGGATCGCGCCGCACCGCCGATTTGGACCCCCGAGATGGGTACCGAAAGAATGGGTACAATGCCCAACAACAAATGTTGTCCCAAACCAACAGCGGCCGCTGTTTGGCAGGCGGCCTTCTGTCTCGAATGGACACAGGCCGCGGCGGCGCGGACAGCGAGCCCTGTTCAGGAACTGCTGTTGGGCATTGTGCCCATTCTTTCGGTACCCATGTCGGGCGTCCAGAGCCGATACATCGCCGATGCATCGGCGCTGCATCGTCGATCCCAGACCCCCGACGTCATGATTTTTTCATTACGTCGACCCCCAGAGGTCCCGACCCTTTCCCCGGGACCGGCTTTGCATCCTGAGTCGTTTTTTGACGCTCCCGAGGCCCGGTGAGGGCCCCCGGAGGCCGACAATGAAGGAAAACCTTCCGTCATGATTTTTTCATTGCTCGAGGGGGTCTGGGAAGCACCGGCGATGCCTCGACGACGTCGACGTGGATCAAACCGCGCTCCACCTCGAGCCGTGCTGGCGGTGCATCGGCGACGGGACGCGCGATGCTCCGACTCATCCACACGGACCCCATCTACCGAGCATTCTCTTTGGGATGGACAAACCTCCCTTCAGTAAAACGTGGTTTAGTGAAAACGACCTGAGGCCCAAACCTGGCGGGCGCAGGCCTGGAAAATAACAGCCACGGCGCCCTCTCGAGAACCGAAAACGGACAATTCACTAATCGACGTGTCACTGTTGGGGGTTCTGTCCATCCCCGAGAAATGCCGTTTCGATTGATGTTCGAGGTCTGCATCTGCAAAAAGGTGAAGCAGAAGACGGAGTTATTATTTTCGAGGTGCAAACAGCCCCTATGGATTTCACCTTGAGCCCTCCACCCTGAGGAAATGCTCGGATCCAGGAGGCCCATCTACCGAGCATATTCTGTGGGTGGAAGGCAAAGGGTGACATCTGAAATGCCATTTCGATTGAGTTTCGAGGTCTGCATCTGCAAGAGGTGAAGCAGAAGACGGATTGATTATTTTCGAGGTGCAAAAAGCCCCTATGGATTTCACCTTGAGGCCTCACTATTTTGCACATTCCTTGATGAGCCTGTTTTCCACCAGCACCACCATCAGTTGGAGGGGGGAAGGGGGAGGAGGGCAAGGAGGAGGAGGAGGAGGAGAAGGAGGAGGAGGAGGGGGAGGAGGGGGAGGAGGAGGAGGAGAACCCCCCCCCTCCAACTCATAGTGGCGGTGGTGGAACACACGCCCACCAGTCCTCCTCCTGCAGAGGCACGGGCCCGACTTCCGGCCCAGCGCGCGGCCGTCTGGGCAGAGCCGCGGGCGAGCCGCCCGCCGCTCTGCCTCGGGGCGCACGCGGTGCGCGGCGCGGCGGGCCGGGCGCACGCGGCGCACGGCGCGGCAGAGGCGGGCCGCGGGCCGGCACGCGCCCGCCGCCCCCGCCCAGGGCGCCCCGCCCTGGGGCCCAGGGCCGACGTGCCCAGACTTACGTCGGGCCTGTCCTCCCGCAGAGGGATTTTGAGCGAAAAATTGCACACAAAACAATCGTTTAAAATCAAAAAGAAATCGTCCCCAGGCCCCAGACTGTCTTCTAACTATTTGGGAGTTTTCCCCCTGTAGAGGGACAGGCACGACTTAAGCCCAGACCCCCTCGAGCAATGGAAAAATCACGACGGGAGGCGTTTCGCCACTTTCGGCCTCTGGGGGCCCTCACCAAGGCCTCGGGGCCGTCAAAAAACGACTCGGGACGGCAAACCGGTCCCGTGGAATGGGTCGAGCGAAACCTCTCGGGGTCGACGTCGAGGAAAAATCAAGACGTCGGGGGTCTGGGGTTGGCGTACCCAGACCCCTTCCCACACCCTCGACGTCATGATCATGTTTTTTTTTTGCTACCTCGATCCCCAGAATTCTCGACCCCTTCCCTGGGACCGGTGCCTCATCCTGAGTGGTTGTGGACGCTCCCGATGCCCGTCAAGGGCCCCCGGAGGCCGAAAACTAGGGAAAACCTCCCGTCATGATTTGTTCCTTACCCGAGGGGGTCTGGGCTTACGCCGTTGCAAAAAATCACGAGACGGAGGGTCTTGGGCTACATTCTCAGCTCTGCGGGCCACCTCGCCCGGCCTCGGGACCGGCAGAAGACGACTCGGGGTGAGGAACGGGTCCCGGGGGGAAGGGGTCGAGACCTCTGGGGGCCGACGTTCCCAGAGCCCCCGACGTCATGATTTCTTCCTTACGTCGTCCCCCAAAGGTCCCGACCCTTTCCCCATGACCGGCTTTGCATCCTGAGTCGTTTTTTGACGCTCCCGAGGCCCGGTGAGGGCCGCCAGAGGCCGAAAATGAGGAGAAACCTCCCGTCTTGATTTTTGCATTACTCGAGGGGGTCTGGGTCTGGGGGTCGACGTTCCCAAAAAAAAAATCATCACGTCGGGCCCCGGGATCTGGGTGTGCATCTGTGCCTCCCTGGCCAACCCTGACCTTCCAGGAGGGCTAAAAAATAGCACCCGACCTAAAAACCTATCCCAGAGCTATTCTACGTCTGGGTTTTAGGCTGTTTCGTTCAGTGTTTTAGGTTTTTAGGCCTCCAGTGCTAAACAATAGCTCGCTGGAAGGTCAGGGGTCTGGGTCGACGTTCCCAAAAAATTATGACGTCGGGCCCCGGGGTCTGGGTGTGCATCTGTGCCTCCCTGGCCAAGCCAGGGGTTTGGACACCCGAAATGGGTACCGAAAGAATGGGTACAATGCCCAACAACAAATGTTGTCCCAAACCAACAGCGGCCGCTGTTGGGCAGGCGGCATTCTGTCTCGAATGGACACAGGCCGCGGCGGCGCGGATAGCGAATCCTGTTCAGAATGAGGCGGGCCGGGACGCGACCGGACCGCAGGCCAGAGGAACGCCCGCCGCGCCGGCCGGAAGGAGGAGCCTTCGAGCCCAGAGCCCCTCGAGGAGTGGCAAAACATCACACAACCTCGAGGAGTGTGTGTGTGTGTGTGTGTGTGTGTTCCCACTGACTGTGTGTTTTGTGTGTGTGTGTGTGTGTTTTTGTGTGTGTGCTTTTGTGTGTGTGTTGTGTGTATTTTTTCCCACAGGCGGGAGGCTTTTCTGAACTTTCGGCCTACAAGGGCCCTCACCGGGCCTCGGGAGCGTGAAGAAACGACTCGGGATGGCAAACCGGTCCCGTGGAATGGGTCGAGCGAAACCTCTCGGGGTCGACGTCGAGGAAAAATCAGGACGTCGGGGGCCTGGGGTTGGCGCACCAAGACCCCTTCCCAGACCCTCGACGTCATGATTTGTTTCTAGAAACGACTCGGGATGCAAAGCCGGTCCTGGGGAAAAGGTCGGGACCTCTGGGGGTCGACGTCAGGAGAAAATCCTTACGTCGGGGGTCTGGGAGGGCCCCCCCCCAGGATGCACAAGAACATGCAACAGGAACGAAAAGCATGATCATCATCATCATCATCATCATCATCATCATCATCATCATCATCATCATCATCAGCATCAGCATCAGCATCAGCATCATCATCATCATCAGCATCATCATCATCATCATCATCATCATCATCATCATCATCATCATCATCATCATCAGTCAGCAGCAGCAGCATCATCATCATCAGCAGCAGCATCGCCCTCCCGAGCCGACCTCGACCTTGACACCTCGGTTCGACCGCACGGTAGGCTCATGCGGCGTTGGCGCGCCGGCGACGCCGGCGAAGGCGTTCAAGGTTGGACTCTGCGGCGCGGAAGCACCGAAAAGCATGGTGGCACCACTGGACCCGGCGAAATGCAGCCTTGAACGAGCGGGGCCGCGATCGGTTAAAGGGGGGACGATCGACTCGGTGTCAGAAACCTTGGCGCGCGCCGACGACGCACATTCCGTCGGGTCCAGTGGCGCCACCGTGTCCATCGGTGCTTCCGCGCCGCAGAGCTCATGACGTGGACCTCCAGCGATCTGGACCCACTCCTCGGGACCGGTTTTTTCGTCCTGAGTCATATTTTGGCGGCCCCGCGGCCCGGTAAGGGCCCCCAGAGGCGAGAAACTCCCCGTCGTGACTTTTGTCATGACCCGAGGGGATCTGGACCGAACGCCAACGCCGCGCGAGCCACGCCGCTGATGCGCCAACGCCGCGCGAGCCCACGCCGCAGGGCGGCCAGGTCCGCACGTGACCGCCGCCCCCGGCCAGGGCACCTCCTAGGGGCCCAGGGCCAGTGTTGCAACGCAATCACGTAGGAGGAGGAGGAGGAGGAGGAGGAGGAGGAGGAGGAGGAGGAGGAGGACGAGGAGGAGGAGGACGAGGACGAGGAGGAGGAGGCGGAGGAGGAGGAGGGGGAGGGCCTGGCCAGGGGCGGCGCGCGTAGATCCCGCCGCCCACGAGGAGAGGGGGGCCCTCCTCGGCGGCGCCCGCCGCCGGCAGGCCCGAGGCCGGGGCCGCAGAAGCTCGTGTTTTGTTTGTTTCTGCGCACCTCCCGCGCGGCGCCGCGGGGCCGCCGCCGCCGCCGCCGCCGCCGCCGCCGCCGCGGCGCGGCGGCTGTCGCGGCCGCAGCCGCGCTGGCAATCGCCGCAGCCGCAGCCGCCGCGGTCGCCGCAGCAGCCGCAGCCGCCGCCGCCGCCGCGGCCGCCGCGGCCGCCGCGGCCGCCCACGCGCTGCGAGGCGCGGAGAGAGGCTGCGCGTCGGCGCCGCGCGCGCCTCAGCGGCGGTCACGAGCGCCTGTGGCCAAAAGCCCGGCGGATCTCCGGCAGCTTCCCCGCGATTCTGACCGGGTACTGCTCTGCGTTGGCCTCGGCCCTCGTGAGCCACTCGGTCAGCGGCCTGGCGCACGCCTCGTCGAGGGCGTAGGCCGCCAGGAAACGCTGCACCGCCGCCCGCGGCACGTCCGCGGCGCCCATCCGCAGCAATCCCTCGCGGCCGTCGTCGAGAGTGACGCGCGCGACCACTGCCGGCGGCTCGAAGGCAACATCTTTGGCCGGCCCGTCCGCGGCGAGCGCCGTGCTCGCACTAGGCCCGTCAGCAGCGGCGGCGCCCTGGAAGAGATTCGTTTTTGCCCCCCTGTAGCGTCCGTGAGTGGCGGTGTAGCAGTCACTTGGCAGGCGCGGGCATGGTACTAGCAGTAGTGATGCTAGAATAGTACTAGCAGTAGTAAGGGTAACAGTAAAGGCCACGACGACGAAGGGGACGACGACGACCAACGAGAACTTCAACGACAACGAGAACTTCAACGACAAAGACGACGACAACGACCAGCGGCGGTGAGCATGACGGCCGGCGAAGACAACGACAACAATGGCCACGACGAACACGGCGACAACGACGACCAACGGCGACGCCAAATGATGGTAGCAGAAGTAGGGAAGATGAGTAGAAGCATTCGCAGCTGTATAAATTCGAGTCGTACTAGCCTCCGAGGTAGTAGAAGTAGCAGTAGTGGTAGTAGTAGCAGTCGTAGTAATCGCAGTAAGAAAACGCATAGGGGGTACTTCTGGTAGCAGTCGTTGAAGTAGTTGTAGGCGCAGTGACAATCGCATTCGTAGTAGTAGTAGTCAAACTAGTAGAAGTAGTAATATAACAAAGACTACTTCTAATACCACTACGATTACTACTACTACTACTACTACTACTACTGCTACTACGACTACTACTACTACTACTACTACTACTACTACTACTACTACTACTACTATTACTACTACGAATACTACTACTACTACTACTACTACTACTACTACTACTACTACTACTGCTACTACTACTACTACTACTACTACTACTTCTACGAATACTACTCGAAAAAAGCCAGGCTACACTTACTACTACTACCACGACTACGACTACGACTACTACTACTACTACTACTACTACTACTACTACGACGACTACTACTACTACTACTGCTACTATTGCTATTACTAGTACTGCTACTACGACTACTACTACTACTACTACTACTGCTACTACTACTATTACAACGACTACCACATCAACTAATTGTACTCTTATTGCTACGACTAGGACTCCGACAACGACTGCAACTACTACTGCTACTACAGCAACTACTACGTCTACGAATACTACTGCTACTACGACGACTACTACTACTATGAACTACTACTACTACTACTACAACAACGCCTACTACTACTACTACTACTATACGACTACGACTACGACTACGACTACGACTACGACTACGACTACGACTACTACTACTACTACTACGACTACGACTACTACCTACTACTACTACCACTACTACTAGTCGACTACTACTACTAGTACGAATACGACTTCTACTACTACTACTACTACTACTACTACTACTACTACTACTACTACTACTACGACTACTACTACTACTGGCAGTAGTAGTAGCAGAAATACTAATAATGATACTCGCAGCGACAAGTCAAAGGGCAAGGACAGTTGCCGTGTGCGTAGCGGCAGCGACTGCATAATAGGAGTATCAGAAGAGCAGCAACAACAATCGACAATAAAACGAGTAGTCGTAGGAGTAGTACTGATACTAGTCGTCTTAACAGCAGTGGGGGTAGAAGTAGTAGAAGTAGTAGTCGTAGTAGTAGTAGTAGTATTACTGGTAGTACGACGATTCGGAGTAGCACTAGTAGCAGGAGTCGTAGTAGTCGTAGAAGTAGTGGTAAGAGTAGTCGTAGTAGTCGCAGCAGCAGTAGCAGTAGTAGTAGTAGTAGTAGTAGTCGTAGTAGTAGTAGTAATAACAGGAGTAGTAGTAGTAGTAGTAGTAGTAGTAGTAGTAGTAGTAGTAGTATACGTAGTAGTAGTAGTAGTAGTAGTAGTAGTCGTCGTAGTCGTAGTCGTAGTCGTAGTAAAGCAAACTGCAGTCGTCGTAACAGCCGTAGTAGTAACAAAAGCAGTCGTCGCCGTAGTCGTAGCAGTAATACTAGCAATAGAAAAACAAAAACAGCGAGGGCAGCAGCAGTAGTAGTCGTTGTAGCAGTAATAGCAGTAGCACCGACAGCAGCACGAGCCGTAGTTACTACGACTTAGTAGTAGTCGCCGTCGTAGCGGCACCAGTCGTAGACGGACTGGCCGTAGTAGTAGTCGTAGTAGTAGTAGTAGTAGTAGTAGTGGTAGTAGTAGTAGTAGTAGTAGTAGTAGTCGTAGTAGTAGTAGTAGTAGTAGCAGTAGTAGTAGTGATGGTGGTGGTGGTAGTAGTAGTAGTAGTAGTGGTAGTATCAGTAGTAGTAGTAGTAGTAGTAGTAGTAGTGGTAGTAGTAGCAGTAGCGTTCGTATGAATTCTAGTAGCAAATCCAGTAGCAGCAGTAGCAGTAGTAGCAGTAGGGGTAATAGTTGTAACAATAGTAGCCGTAGCAGTAGCAGTCGTAAGACTACTGGTAGAAGCAGTAGTAGTAGTAGTAGTAGTAGAAGAAGAAGCCGTGGTAGTAGTAGTAGTAGCAGTAGTAGTAGTAGTAGTAGTAGTAGTAGTAGTAGTAGTAGTGGTGGTAGTAGTAGTAGTAGTAGTAGTAGTAGTAGTAGTTGATGTAGTAGCAGTAGTAGTAGTAGTAGTAGTAGTAGTAGTAGTAGCAGCAGCAGCAGCAGTGGTAGTAGTAGTAGTAGCCATAGTAGTAGTAGTAGTCGCCGCAGTAGTAGCAGTAGTAGTAGTAGTAGTAGTAGTAGTAGTAGCAGTAGTAGTAGTAGTCGTCGTCGTCGTCGTCGTAGTCGTAGTCGTAGTAGTAGTCGTAGTAGTAGTAGTAGTAGTAGTAGTAGTAGTAGTGGTGGTGGTGGTGGTAGTAGTAGTAATGGAACTGGTAGTAGTAGTAGTAGTAGCAGTAGTAGTAGTAGTAGTAGTAGTCGAAGTAGTAGTAGAAGTAGTAGTAGTAGTAGTAGTAGTAGTAGTAGTAGTAGAAGCAGTCGTAGGAGTAGTAATAGTCGCAGGAGTAGAAGAGATCGGCGTAGTAGTAATGGTAGTAGTAGTATTCATAAGTCGTATTAGTAAGAATAATGCAGATGGCCCAAGATGGCTCCAAGATGGCCTCAGACAGCAGAAAATTACCTCCAATATGGTTCAATATAGCTTAAAATACTGCCGATATGCTCTGAGGGGCCTGAGGCCCGCCCCAAGACGGCTACAGGTGACCACGGAGCTTCCCATGGAAACACACCAGCAAACCGCCTGGGACATCGCCACAATCTGGCCGCGACCGGGGAGGTGAAACCACCCCTTTGCCAGATGCTCTGCAAGCAAAAGAGACTGGGCCATCAAACATGCAATCCGCCTGAGACGTCCCTGCAATCTGGCCGCAAACGGGGGGGTGAAACCACCCCTGGCGGCTCCCCCGTGGAGTGCTGAAGCTAGAAAATCGGCAGAGATCCGCCACCATGCCTCGGGCACGACGTTGAGTTTTCTCCAGGCGCCACTGTTCTCTGCACTCAGGACCCTGGGATTATGAGATTCGAGATGCTGGGGCCCACGTTTCCAAATTTTCTGGGTGCTCCCGCGCTTTTTTGGGCTGCCTCGCATGACTTTACAGAGGCCAGAGGACCCCAAGACGTGCCAAGAGGGCCCCAGAAGGCGCCCAAGAGGGTCCGAGAGGCCTCCAAGACAGCCCAAGAAAGCTCCAAGGCGCCCAAGATGGCCCCAAGACTGCCCAAGATGACCCGAAAAAGCCCCAAGATCGCTCCGAGAGGACCCCCAAGGACCCAGAGAGGCCAAAATCATTGGTGTTCCTTGTGCTGTTCGGTATGTTTCGCGTTCTCGCGTTGTCGGGCTTCCGACGCGCCAAGGGGCCCCTAAGACCACCCCAAGACGGCCCTAGAAGTTCCAAAAGGGCCCCAAGTCGGCCCATAGAGGCCCCCCAAACGGCTTCCGACGGCGTCAGACGGACCAGGAGCCCACCAAGACGGCCGAAGATGGCCCTAAGGTGGCCCAAGAAAGCCCAAGAGGCCTCCAAGAGGCCAAAAGTATTGCTTTCCCATGGGATACTGGCTTTTGTTTTTTTTCTGCCTTCGGACGGCCCGAGACGGCCCAAGTGCCCCCAAAGATCGCCCAAGAGGCCCAAGACACGGCCCCAAGAGGCCCCCAAGTAGGCCCAAGAGGTCTCCAAGACGCTCAAGATGGCCTCCAAGACTGCCCAAGAGCCCTCCAAGACGTCCTCCAAGAAGGCCCGAAAGTGTCAAAATGGCCTCCAGACGGCCAAGATGACCTTCAAGATGCCCACGTGTTCCCCGAAGGCTTTCCAAACCGATTCGGGGAACACATGGTCCGATAGCTTTGCAGGTCTGGCCTCAACGTTCGGCCACATAGGCGCTTCCACAAAGGCAGGGGGCGGCGGTGATTCGCCGTAGGCGTCTTCGATCCGCCGCCCCCTGTCGATTCCATCAAGGGGTGGCCTGGCGTGCTAAAAAAATAAATAAAAAAAAAAAAGAAAATAAAAAAGAATGATGTCGGTTTTGATGTTGGTTCTTTTCCCAAAGAACTCCACTCCCCCTGGGACTCCGGCGCGTCCCGCTGGGGTCCCGGGAAGGATCTTAAAACGCATCCGTCGATGCCTTTGTTGCCCCAAGTTGGCCCAAGATGGCCTCCAAGACGGCCTATATATATGTATATATATATGTATATACATGTATGCAGCTATATGTATATGCACACACGCCCTTTCTGAATTGTGGTGCTGAACCCAGCGCATGAGACCTCCTCGCAATCTGCTAGTCTGAGTGCGAGTGAGTCGGTGTAATAGGGAGTCTGAGTGGATGCGACTGCGTGTGAGTGAGCCTGAGTACAAGCCAGTCTGACTGTGAGAGAGTATGAGTATGCGTGAGTCTGCCAGTGATTCTGTGTATGAGTGACTATGTGCATGATTCATTCTGGGTGAGAGTGAGTATGAGTAACTATGAATGGGTCGGAGTGTCAGTGGTCCTGAGTGTAAGTGGGTCAGAGTATGAGTGGGTCTGAGTACGAATGGGTCGAAGTGTGACGAGGTCTGAGCGTGAACGACAAGAAGTGTGAACGACTGATGGCGATGACAAGATCTCGGACAGGGGGGAGGGAGAGGAGGAGGAGGAGGAGGAGGAGGAGGCGAAGCAGGAGCGCGTAAAGCGGAGGCGTCCCAGCAACAGCAGGAACCCCGCATGGGATACAACTGTGAAGACCGGCACGCCCTCCTGGTCGCGGAACTGGGCGCGCAGCCTGTCGAGGAAGGTGGCACGCCCGCTCGCGTCCACCTCTGGCGGTCTCCCAGATGTCGTCGGAGCAGCTGGGGTCGGAGGACCGCGCCGCAGCGCCGATACGTTGGCGATCCATCGGCGATGTGCCCGTGATGCATCGGCGATGCCCTGGCGATGCATCGTCAACGTGGGCGATGAGTCGACGACGTCGACTTGAAGCGAATCGGGCTCCACATCGAGCCGCACTGGCGGTGCATCGGCGCTGCGGCGCGATGCTCCGACCCCAGCTGCTCGGGCCCCATCTGGGAGGCCTAGAGACCTCGCCCAGGTCCCCGAGCACCAGCGGGATGAATCTCCGGGTGCACTGCAGCACAGCGTCGATGTCGGCCGAGATCCCGCTGCGCGCCAGGGCCAGGAAACGCTGGGCTGCGTCCGTCGGCACGTCACGCGCGTCCGCGCACGCCGCGCGGGAGTCCGACAGCGCTCTCGGAAAGTAGACCTGATGGGCCCAGTTTCCACCACCACTACCATGTGTAGGAGGCGGAGGAGGAGGAGGAGGAGCTCCCCATCCTCCCCATCCTCCCTTCTCCCCCTACATATGGTGGTGGTGGGAAAAGTTGCCCATCATCAAGGCCTGCAGCAGCGCCAGGAAGGAGGCGAGCAGCGCACAGGAGCCCTCCATCAGCACCACGTCCCAGAGCCGGGCCACGGCGTGCAGGGGCCAGGTGCGCGCCGCGCACGTCAGGAGGTGGTCCGTGGCCAGCATGTCGGATGGGCCTGTTTTCCACCACCACCACCACCACCAGCAGTTGGAGGGGGGAAGGAGGAGGAGAACGAGGAGAAGGAGGAGGACGAAGAGGAGGGGGAGGAGGAGGAGGAGGAGGAGGAGGAGGAGGAGGAGGAGGAGGAGGAGGTGGAGGTGGAGGAGGATGACCTCCTTCCCCTCCAACTTCTGGTGGTGGTGGAAAACAGGCCCATCAATGTCGAAGGGTATGTCGAGGCCGACCAGCTCCGCGTGTACCTCTGGCAGCAGTTGGCTAGTCAGCGCATCGAGCACCCCGAGGTCGCAGAAATACCCCTCCAGGGAGGCTCCGTGGTAGCCGGGGCACACCTGCTCGACGACGTAGCGCAGCGCCGCGAGCGCATCGGCCTCCGAGAAAGCCAGGAGAAGAGGCACCGCGGCGATGAAGCTCATGCCCTGGCAGTAGCCAACCGCCGGATTCACCGCGGCATACGCGCAGAGCACCCTTCTTAGCGAACCCCGCTGGTCGTCCGAGCACGCGCCCGACAGAGTTCTCTTCAAGTCTAGCTCGACTTTAGAGGGAGAAAAAACAGAAAATTAGAAAGAAAAAAAAAAAAAAGAAAGAAAAGGAGAAAAAACAAAACAAACAGAACAAACAACAAAACACAACAACAACAAACTACAGACAACAAAAACACCAACAAAAAAAAACACAACAAACACAAAAATAAAAAAACAAAAAAGACACAAACAACAACCACAAAAAAAACAAAAACAAAAAAAAAAAACAGCACATACATAAACTGCACAAGGTCCGCGTGAATTTCTTGGATCGGCGCTGGACCCCTTTTCCTGGCCCCCGGAGCGCGCCAGTGGCGGCGCCGGAGGCGCCGCCAGGGGAGCGGGGCGCCGATCCAGGAAATCCGCGCGGAGTTCCGGAAATGTATGTCTGCGTCGTTTTCTGTCCCTCGAGCTTTGGGAGGCGTGATCGCCGTGAGCCTCGGAACAAAGCTTGTCGACCTCTCCGGCTGGCTGGCCCCACCATCGGGGCCAGAGGTCCAGGCGGTGCTTCAACGGCGCCCCGTCGTCCACCAGCCGCCTGAGCTCCGCATCGGAGCACTCGGAAGGCTTCCGGCCCTTGAGCATGGACTGCCACCTTGGGGAAACCAGAACGCACTCCAAATCTCTCAATAAGCGGGCAAGGGGCGTCGGACAGGCTGGCACGGGGTGGGGGCTTATCAGAGGACCTGGAGTACCGATACCGCTACGTCCCCGACCACTCCCAGGGTGCGTTCTGACCTGAATGTCGAGGCGAATCCAGCGGTGGCGACGAGGGCCTCCTGGGGGGCACAAGAAGGGGAGAAACGAGACAAGGGTAGCAATATCGGTACCTTTTCCTCTGACACCTCTCGTGCATCGCCGCATCCTCGGCGACCGTCAGCGACTCCGTGCGGACGTCAGCGACGTCTAGGAGACCCAAGAGCACGCAAGGAGCGTAGGCTGTGGGAGAGGTCCGCAGGGACTTCTTGGATCGGAGTGGCATCCGATATGCCCTCCTCCCCCGCAGGAGGCAACTCATGGGAGGTCTTCGTAAGAACGATTCGGGGCCATTCGGCGACGACGACAACGACGACGACGACGGCGACGACGGCGCCGACGACGACGGCGACGACGGCGGCGACGACGGCGACGACGGCGACGACGACGACGACCGACGGCGACGACGACGACGACAAGCACGAGTACGACGACGGCGACGACGACGACGTCGCCGTCGTCGTCGGTGCTTGCAAGAAGTGTCCCTGGCCCAGGGTGCACCCAGAAAATTTCCAGGGAAGCACCCCGCGGCCCCCTGAGCACCCCTCACGAGGCGCAGACGAGGCTCAGAGAGCCCCAGGGGCTTCAAAATCGGGCAAAACGCTGGGGGCACCTTGGGCCAGGGGCACCTCCAGCAACCCCAAAACTGTTGAGCCCGGTTGCGGAGCCACTGAGCCGGATCGGGCTGCGTTCAACTCGGGAATAGGCCGCACTGGAAGGGAGCAAGCCCGGGTAGCCGGGATTCAGTGGGGCTTGTACTGGAGCGCGCCAGCTCTCAACACAACAGCGCCAATACTGAAGCAAACCTCCCCGGTTTCGGGTTTCGGGTTTCGGGTTTCGGGTTTAGTTTGAGGGTCAAGGATTCGGTATCAGGGCTCAAGGTTCATGTGATAAGGTTTCGCGTTCAAGTTTCAGTGAATCGCCTGGTGGTGCCTGTGCGTCAAGGCTTGGTTGAGAAGTGAAGTGCGAAATGGAACAAATGAGAAAAACACAGGATGAACCTTGGCGCGCGGAGCGCGCTGGGGGCGCGCCCTGAGGCGTGAAGAGCCGGCGCCGGCCCAAGGGGTCCACGCGGAGCTCTCTGCAAGCTTCCCCTCACGCCGCGCTGCTTGCCGTCGCTCGGGCGCTGCTGCCGCGTGCGTGCTACATGCGGAGTCCCTGGAGCTCTGGACCACTTAGGCCAGGGCCGCCTTGGGCCGCAGGGCGGTGCGTGTGGACGAAAAGGTGCTGGCCAGGCGGCGTTGCCACGCACCTTCTGGGCACAGCCCGTCCCCAGCGCTGAGGTCGCCTTGTGCGCGTGCCACTGGTTTCCCCCGAAGGGGTTGCCACAGGCGCCCGGACTAGGTCGGGCATGTCCCCCCACAGGCGGACTTTGGACGAAACATGGGAGATACCCCAACAAAATACTCAAACATGCACCGAAATGGTCCAAAGATCGTCCCAGGCAATCTTCCCTACTACTTTTGAACATCCCTCCTGTAGAGGGACGTGCCCGACTTGGCGCTCGGACGCACCAAAACGGCCCCGCAGCGCGCGGCCCGCGTGGCGGGCCCGCGCGGGGCGAGCGGGCCCCCGGGACCCGAGCGCGCAAGACCGGAGGGCGCCGGCTGTACACACCCTGACCCGCTCCCGGGCCTAGTGTTGGCCCGGGTGCGAGCGGCGTGGCCGCATGCCCAGACCCCCTCGAGCAATGGAAAAAGTCATGACGGGCCCCCTGACCTTCCAGGAGGGCTAACAAAAATAGCACCCGACCTTAAAACATATCCCGGAGCTACTCTACGTCTTGGTTTTAGGCTGTTTCGTTTAGTTGGTTAGGTTTTTAGGTCTCCATAGCTAAAAAAATAGCTCTCTGGAAGGTCAGGGGAGGTCTTTTAATTATCGGCCTCCGGGGGCCCTCACCGGGCCCCGGGAGCGTCAAAAAACAACTCAGGATGCAAAGCCAGGGTCGGGAACTCTGGGGGTCGACGTAGTGAAAAAATCATTACGTCGGGGGTCTGGGCCCGGGTGCGATCGGCGTGGCCGCATACTCCGCCAAGGCGAAAGCGCCATCACCCTGCCTGGAATCGATCGACGAACCTCCCACCCCTCTCGGCGGAGTAGTTGGGGCCCCCTCTACGGCATTCGTCTTTGCTCGAAGGAAGGCCAGATACTGCCCCGCACCAATCGTAGGTTCAGCGCACGGGATACGCCTGCTCCGCTGCATCGCGGCCTGGCATGGCGTCGCCACGGCAACACAGTTACGGACAGGAGTTTGTGCTCGGCGTGTCACGGCGGCGGCCCTGGCGACATATGCCCTGCGAGCGGATAGCGCGTCGCTGCACTCGGCGGGGCGGGAGACTGGTAAGCCTTCGGCAGGCTGATGCCAGGGGACCGGGGCGAGGACGGGTGGGCCAAAGCCGGCGGCGCGACACGCCGCGCCAAAGTTCCCGGCCGCAGCGCCCTCCGACACGGAGGGCACGAGACACCCCGCCGTCCGAACGGCGCCCAGGCTTTGGGTCTCCTGCTGTCGGGGATCTGGGGCGCCTCCTCCGGGCCGCCCAGCAGGTTCGACAGCCGCGCCGCCAGGGGCCCCAGCACGCGCCTCCCCGGAGACCGCGCGGGCGCCTCCATACTGCATGCCCAGGGGCGCCGAAGAGGGCAGGAGCCTTGAGCCTGCGGCCGCAGGAGCCTCAGACGGCGGTCGAGCGGCGGCGGGGCGCGCCAGAGCACAGCGAGGCACGAAGGAAGAGGGAACGCGCGAGGCGAGGAGCCGCCGGAGAGGCCGAAAGGGGCGCCGAAGAGGGCAGGGACAGGGAGAAGCGACGCCACCACCGCCGCCAGCGGGAGCAGCCCCAGAGGGGGGGGGGGGGGCAGGCTCCCCCTGGAGGTGTCCTCCCCCGAGGTTGCCCCCCCCTGGCGTGCTGCTTCTCTTTCTCCTTCCCCCCGAGGGGGGTGGGGGGGGGGGGGGGGGGGCGGGAGGGCGACCTGGGAGGCCGCATTGCCCTGACCTTCCCGGAGGGCTGAAGAATAGCACCCGACCTAAAAACCTATCCCAGAGCTGCTCTGCGTCTTGGTTCTGGGCTGCTCCGTTCAGTGTTTTAGGTGTCCAGGCCTCCAGTGCTAAAAAATAGCTCTCTGGAAGGTCAGGGTGCCCCCCTGGGGCAGGCGCCGAGCTGGCCCTGCTCCGCCCCCAGACCCCCGACGTCATGATTTTTTCATTACGTCGACCCCCAGAGGTCCCGACCCTTTCCCCATGACCGGCTTTGCATCCTGAGTCGGTTTTTGACGCCCCCGAGGCCCGGTGAGGGCCCCCGGAGGCCGAAAATTAGGAAAAACCTCCCGTCGTGATTTTTTCATTACTCGAGGGGGTCTGGGGGGTGCCCCCCTGGGCCAGGCGCCGAGCTGGCCCTGCTCCGCCCCGCGGCCCGAGGTCCCGACGTGCCGCCCCCCCGGGGGAGAGCTCTCCGTCCCGGGTCCCTGCCCCGTGGCCCCCCCCCGGGGGCCCGAGGGCGGCCCTTCGCGGGCCGAGGCGTCGAGGAGGGGGCCCCGCCGGGGGACCCCAGAGACCACGAGGTTCCCTGGGAGACCTGGGCCCCAGCTCGGGGGGGGTCCACGAGGTCCCTCCTCCCTCCTCCCTCCTCCCTCCTCCCTCCTCCCGGGCCAAGAGACCACGAGGTTCCCTGGGAGACCTGGGCCCCAACCATGACGAGGGGCAACGAGAAGGGGGGTCCACAGCTCAGGGCCCAGACACCCGACGCAATGATTTTTTCGTTACGTCGCCCCCCAGAGGTCCCGACCCTTTCCCCATGACCGGCTTTGCATCCCGAGTCGTTTTTTGAAGCTCCCGAGGCCCAGTGAGGGCCCCTGGAGGCCGAAAATAGAGGAAAACCTTCCGTCATGATTTTTTCATTACTCGAGGGGATCTGGGGCTCAGGGGGGGGGGCGGGGAAGGGTCACATCGACCTGGAGTCGGCGATGCCTCGTTGACAGATCGCCGATCGGCCCCCGACCGCGAGTCCGCCCCCTTCCCGGGCGGAGCGGGCCGTCGGGCCTCTGTCGGCGATGCATGGGGGGCTGCATGGGCGGTTGGGGGTCCATGTTTCCCCCCTGCGCCTACCCTGACCTTCCAGGAGGGCAGAAAAAATAGCACCCGACCTAAAAACCTATCCCAGAGCTATTCTACGTCTTGGTTTTAGGCTGTTTCGTTTAGTTTTTTAGGTTTTTAGGCCTCCAGTGCTAAACAATAGCTCTCTGGAAGGTCAGGGTAACTACCCCCCCCTAATCGTTGCCCCTGACATGGTGTCCAACCTCCCTCACGGCTAGTTCGCGTCGCGCTGCCGCCGGCGTTGGTTTCTGACGCCTCGTGAATCGTTCAACCGTGAACGATCCGGGCTCTCCGATAGCGCAGATCGCTTGATATCGGACATCGGCGACTCTGGGCCACCAGCGGCGTTCAACCTTGAACGTCCGCGCTGAGGTCGCGGCCGCGTCAACGCGGCGCACATCTATCGTAATGTCATCCTCGGACGCCCCCGCTATATAATCCGAAAGCCCTTATAACGGCGACGAGGCGACGATCGAAAGCAGTGCCCCGGCACTGCTTTGAACGCGTTCAAAGCAGTGCCCCGGCACTGCTTTGAACGTATGATATGATGATATGATGTTGATTATGATTGATGATGATGATGATTTTTCCAGCGTGCACTGTCCGCAACTGCGGCAATCAACATCATGCTCCACTTGCCCGCAACTGCGGCCATCACCAACGCTGCGCCTCTAAGCTCCACGGAGGGCGCTCGGCAGGTCGCCCGCTCGAGCCCCACTCGACTTCACGCTGAGGAGGCGAGCCCTCAGGGGCATTGTCCGCAACTGCGGCATGATCAGAGGGCCACCACTGCGCGCCATCAGCGCCCCATTCGCTCGAGCTCCAGTCCCGCCAGGACCAGCCCTGCCATCTCGTGGCGGGACTGCGCGCCTCCCATGCGCCGCTGCCGCTGGCGTCCCAGGACCCAGCCGCCACTGCGGCACAAGAAGGGGTCGCATCGTCGCCGTTGGCAGCTTGCGGCGGTGGCGTGTTCCCAACTCGCTCAGCCCCAGCGTCTCTCCCCGCAACTGCGGTTCCCATCTGGGGTCGGACGCCCTTCCCCGCAACTGCGGTGTCCGCGTAGCTGCCCTTCTTGCCGCCCTTCTTGCCGCCCTTCCTGCCGCCCTTCCTGCGTTCCAACCTCGCGGCGAGTCTTTCAGGTGACCTGCGGCACGTATTGTGCGTGAAAGCCACCAAAGGGAAGTGCGCTCCGTGCCTCGCCCTGCCGAAGGCGCCATGCCATATCTTGTCGTCGAGGTTGCCCTGCTTCACTCTGAAGGGATAGCGCACCCAATCGTCGCGTTCCCTGCGCGCCATCCTTTGCTCGAACTCCGCATCTGCGGTCAAGGATTCGCCAGTTGGCGTCAGGAAGGCGCGCATCTTGTTTTCAACGGGCTCAGCCTTGGGCACGTAAGTCTGAAGCATCTTCCCAGGGCCATTCGTGTAGTCGAAGACAGGGAAAGTCGGATCATGCTGGGTCGTCAAGAATCCGCCCTCACGGTCGTGCAGAACACTCAGGCCATGGTGAAGCTTGTACTGCCCAGGACAGTTTTTATGAACAAAATCGCCATGCTGTCTGCCCTGGGCTGGCCGACTGCTGTCTTCCAGGGGGTCCACGCGGCGACGTCCACAGTCAGGCCGCAATTGCGGCACCAGGACACAAGCTGGAACATGCACATGTTGAAGTCCCCCATGCAGACCTTCACGTCCCATTCCCTGACGAAGGCGACGAACCAGTTGTAGAACTCATGGAGCTTCGTGACGCCCCAGTCTTGGTTGGCCAAGCTGTGGTGGACGTGCACCGCCATGACGTTGAAGGAGCCCCCCAAAAGGGTCACGGCCTGGTCCAGGTGGACGCGCACCACCATCGCCCTGGAGTACTTGTTGTGCAGCTTTGGCGCAGGAGCCTCCGCAACTGCGGACTGTTTCTTCTTCTTCGTTTTGGACTTCTCCTGCTTGTGGAAGAGTCTCGCAAAGTCTACGTGTTCAATGTGGCCGCCACTGCGGTCCCTCATGCCAACAAGGAGGGTCCCTGATGGCTCGCCGCCCTTAACGCACAGGTAGTTGTATTGCGTCCGACTCCGAAACCTATCGTCCGCAACTGCGGCTGCACTGTCCCTCGCGTCGTGCTCCCCACTGAGTACCGCGCAGGTCTCGTCGTCGCACTCGCAGAGGGCGATGATCTGGGCAGGGTTCGCGCGGAGCTGCGCCCACTCGTCCGCGCGTTGCGTGGTCTAGCTGCAGTCCCTCCGAAGTTGGCCACGTAGAAGCCGACCCGTCCCGCTTCGAACTCCGTTTTCTCCTCCCATGCGTCGACAAGAGCTCTTTGTTTTTCCGACAGATTGCTTGTCTCGATGATGGGCACCCGTTTCCAGGGTCTCCGCGACGACAACACTCTCGGCACGTAGGAGTCATGTGCTGCCGCAACTGCGGCTCCCGCACCTCCCTGGGACTCAGCCTCGTCAGCGGAGGCAGCCGAGGACGCGACGGTGCTGTCGCCATCTTGCGTCCGCTGGTCGTCGTCATCATCCGCAACTGCGGCTTCCTCGTCTTTGCCTCCCTCCTCCTCCTCTGCGTTGTGGATGAACACCGTTCTGGCGAATCGAGGTCCACGGTCCATACTCCCTGAGGATGCGCTCGGGCGCGCGGGCGGCCACATGCTTGCGTCTTCGCGTGCTCCACCTCGAGCCACGGTGGCTACGGAAATGGATCGTGAATGGGCATGGGGTCGGATGGAGGGAGGAGACAAAGAGGATTCGAGGAGTGGCAGAAGGAGGGCGAGGACTCAAAGGAACCGAAAGAACAACAAATGGACTGGCGGAGAAGCAGAAGGAGGGCGACGATTGCAAGGGACTGTGATAGGATTATTTTCACAGCAGCACTTAGCAACCCTAAATCAGCAAGTCAAGACAAAAAGCCAGCGCAAGCAGCACATCAGCAGCGCACGCATGCAAGAGCAGCCTACCGCAACCAGTGCACCAGCAACAGCACAGCAACATCAACAAAGACAGCAACACACAGAAGACCGCAACTGCGGTTTTGCCTCATCTCCTGCCCGCGCGGGAGCCGCTTGGAACAACAACTTCCCTCTGGACTTCCTGTGGGTCCGCAACTGCGGCCTGCATCACGCTAGGGCTGGGATTACCAGCGCCATTTGCCCTCCCAGGGTTCTCACTGTTTCCGAATGCACGAACTGCGACAGCGCCGAACGGTTCCCAGACGCCGCGTCGTTCGCGACTTTTTGCAGCCACCCAGCAAACGTGAGCGGCCATTGCTCCTTGTGCTGTTTGCACATCTCCTCGTCCCAATGCGTCTTGAACCATGCCCACTCCCCCCTCTGCTCGTCTGAGAGGACGCCTTTTCCGCGAGCCAGGCGATCCAGAGCTGCCATCCTGTTTTTCTTGATCTTGAACTCCTCGGGATTCCACTGCGCTAGGGCGGGTTTGTTAGCCAAAGCCGTTTCCACCGCAACTGCGGCCTCCTTCTTTGCCCTCAAGGCGGCCTCGGCCTCTCGAATCTGCTTCTTGAGATCGTGCAACGCCTTCGT